AAATACGAATGCCCCCAACTATACAAAACAAATATTAATGGACATGAAAAACCAAATAAGCACTAATACAATTGTAGTGGGGGACCTCAATACCCCACTATCACAATTAGACAGATCACCTAGACAAAAAATTAACGAAATTCTAGAACTGAGGAACTTCTTAAACTCAGTGTGTACAACAAAACCAAACTTACAAGACCAAACTTAATTAGCCGATTAAAATGAGCTAAGAACTAATATTCATTCTCCAAAGACCATATGACCAACAGGAAAATGAAAAGGTGTTGAACATCACTAATCATCAGAGAAATGCACGTCAAAATCATAATATCATCTCACACCTGAGTTAGGAGGGCTGTTGTCAGGGTCAAAGGATGACAAGTGTTGGCCAGAATGTGGAAAACGAACCCTTGCCTCCTGTTGGTGGAAATATGAAATGGTACAGGCACTTAGGAAAACAGTATATTGGTTACAAAAAAAAAAGACAAATAGAAATCTTATCACCTCATGTATATTTTACTTCAGTCCCCACTTTGTTCATTTACCATTCTATTTTCCCAATGATTCATCAGCCTGTTTTTATGTTGCCTTTTGATTGTGGTGAGAAAAATTGTAATATTTTATCAAAAATATAAATGATGTTTTTGTTGTCTTATGTAGAATGAAACATGTCTATTAATTTTTCAACAGATGTCCCACTTAGAAGCAGTGAAGGTGAAATTACACCAGTTGAGGTAAGGGAAGTTGGAAGAGAGCTTCTAGTAGCCATTATTTTATAAAGGAATAAAATATTTGTAACTAGAGAAATAATTGTAGATGGGATGAAAAAAAACCACCTAGGAAGTTATTCAGTTATTTCATTGTTATTTCTGTTAGGGAAATATCTATACTATTGCATGATTTTTTTAAATTAAATTACACTCAAGAAAGAGAGGTTTCATCATAGAACAGGAATGTTTAAGAAAACATAGGAAGATAGCTGACAAAAAATATTGAGGAAAGAGAAGAGAAAATAAGGAAAAAGCATGAAGTTTTTTTTGTTTTGTTTTGTTTTTGTTTTGGTATGGGGGATCAAACTCGGGACCTTGTGGTTACGAGGCAGGCGGTGGAACCACTGAGCTAAATCCCTGGCCCAAGCATAAAGTTTTTTCTAAGATCCTAGAAATGGATCCTAGAAATGGATAGACCTAACTGTACTTTTGACCCGTTCTCACCATAATCTTTTATTATTTTCTAAATTTAGCCCATGGAATATTATGTATTTTATAATAAAAATCAGTAAAAATGAAAATCACTTAATATAATTCACTTTTCAGCCAATTTTATAGGAGTTACTCATTCCATTGAGCAGTTAACCCCCAAGTAAACCATCAAAGAATAATAAGGTTTTTTTTCTACTGACTGACAAATAAGATCTAATGATTTCCATCCTTGGGTCAGTGGCTACCAAATACCAGTTGAAGAATCAGTATATACTAGCGGTGGTGACCCTGTGGCATATGTGCCACAGCAGGCTGTTTGTTATCATTGAAAGCCCTAAAAGGTTCACCGTCACTGGATGTACTGTTTTCCCCAGGAGAAGTTTCTCTTACTTCATGACATATTCATCACAGTGCAATGGTAAAATATCAGGCCCCAGATTTTCTTTTCTAAAATGTTACTGAAGCCAGGTGTAGTGACACATGCTTGTAATCCCAGCACTCAAGAGGCTGAGGCAGGAGGATCACCACAAATTTGAGGCCAGTCTGTGCTATATAGCAAGTTCAAAGCCAGCCTGCACTACATAGCAAGACCGTCTCAAAAAAACAAAACAAACAAAAAAAGATGATGCTCATTTATAAAATCCAAATATACATGAATAAATGCTTTACAAAACTTCTTTGTCATTTTTGATAATATTCTGTTGTCCATGATTTCAGGCAAGTAGAGAATTTCTCACTGTCTGTTATTAAGGAATGTAATAACTTACGACTACTACTGGTAACTTTTGATAAAGGATAGGGTACAGTTGATTTTATTTTAAATACTTTCTAGTAAATAATGATCGACTGATAATTTTTACTGGTGTATTTTTTAGTTGCTGGAAAATGATAAGAAAGACCTGACTATACCAACTTTGAACCTTTGGGACCAAGATAATTCAATTGCTGTTATTCCAAGAATTGATGAGTCAACACTGCCACCCACAGATATTCCACTGTCCATTATTCCTACCCTTAAAGTAACAGAAGAGGGGAAAATACCACCTTTAGATGAACAATCAAAAGCCATACTAAAGGATAAAATGAAAGATACACTGTTGCCACCAGTAGTAAGACTGAGAAATACACATCCAAACATTTTAAAAACAGACTCTTCTTCAGCAAAGGTAAAGTTGAGAAGTATCCATGTAAATCCAGAGAAAGTGAGGAAGAATTTAGACTCATCTCCAACTGAAATTAGGTGGCAAAGCAACTATCTAAACTTAGCTGAGAGAAAAAGTACAAGCTTTTATTCCCCAGATTTGAAATCAAAAGGTAGCTTTAAAAGATAAAGCCTAAAAGAAGACCTTGAATTAAAGGTGACTACCCTTGTATTTGAAGAACAGGATTAGCTAATCAAAATAATTTATTTTAGAAAGCAAATGAAATACAAATAAATTGAAAATGCATTTTAATGTCTCCCATTAGAAATACTAAATATTCCTATTCCATTTATACTGATCAATAAGGAAAAAAATCTTTGAAGAAATAACAAAGCCATCTGAGATTCCAGTTGTACAAACCAATCTCCTAGATTCATGAAAATTTGTTTTTGGGGGTTTTTTTGTATTAAATTCTTTTATTGGTACATTGTAGGTATACAACACAATTACATTTCTCATTGGGAATTGAACCTTTATATAATGCATCTTGGTTCTTATTTTTTCCCCATTCCTAGCCCTCCCTTCACGCCCTCCA